AGATTTTCTGCAGGAGCTTCCAGAGAAGAACTTTTGTCTTCTGTTGATGTTTCAGAAAGATACTCTCCATGAGAAGGCTGTTTTACCCATATGATATTAGGGGAAAAAGTCCCGCTCTGATACCATGAAAGTTTAGATACTGCAAAAGTATATTTTATTCATAGTGTTTGTACAATATTTATAAGAGAACAAGTAAAGACCAATTAAACTAATCAATCCCTAATTCTTAGGAAATCCTTGAATCAATGGATTTCCTCTTAACTATTTTCCTAGAATAATATATTCTAATCCCATATTCACAGGAGCAGATTCTAATCAAATTTGCCAGCTTTCTTTGTGGAGCAGATTATAATCAAATCTGCCAGCTCAATGGTGGAGTAGATTATGACTAAATCTGCCTACTCATTCAACAATAACTCAAGAAGGTATAATGAGGGTTAGTATTTCGAGTGGATCGTATACCTTTTTGAAGTGCAAGCGGTTGGCTAGGAGGAGGCAAGTCCGCAGTACGAGCAGGGTCTGGCGCATGACATGAATCATTTGGGACTAACGCTGGACGCGGACGGCGATGATAAGTTAGGAGTGGTGGCACTACAACTGGAGATGTAGAAGTAACCGTAGATTCCTCAAAAGTTGGTACAGGTAAAACTTGAGGTATAGGTAAGACCATATATAGATCAAGATGATCAGAAGACGTATAGTAAGGTTGAGACTCAAAGAATGTAACATCAGTGGACATAAGGTAACGATGAAGATCATGTGAATAACATCGATACCCTTTTGAACTCGAGAGTAACCAAGAAAGACACATTTGAGGGCACGAGGGGCTAATTTATATTTCCCTGGGGATAAGTTATGAACAAAGCATGTACTCCCAAAGACACGAGGGGGGATAGGATAGAGATATGACTCAGGAAACAGAATGGAATGTGGAACCTGATTTTGAATAGAAGATGAGGGCATTCTATTTATTAAATAACAAGACGTAAGAACTGCATCTCCCCAAAAACGCAGCGGAACATGGGATTCAAGGAGAAGAGTACGAGCAGTCTCAATAAGATGCCTATTTTTCCTTTCTGCTACACCGTTCTGTTGAGGGGTGTATGGACAAGTAGTCTGGTGAATAATGCCTTGGTGAGTCAAACTCCTGAAATTGGGAGGATAAGTATTCTAAGGCATTATCACTACGAAAAGTACGAATAGAAACACCAAATTGATTTTGTATTTCAGCAAAGAAACTTTTGAATATAGAAAATAACTCAAGAATGATCTTCATTAAGAAAACCCAAGTACATCTTGAATAATCATCAATGAAACTAACAAAATAACGAAATCCTAAGGTGGAATTGACTCTACTAGGACCCCAAATATCAGAATGAACTAATGAAAATATAAACTCTGAACGACCCTCAGTACTACGTGAAAATGTAGCACGGGTGTGTTTCCCAAGTTGACACGACTCACAATCTAATTTGGATAAACTAGACAAACTAGGCACCATCTTTTGCAGTTTGGACAGACTCGGATGTCCCAAACGTTTGTGAATTAGATCTAGGGAATCTGTAACGGAGCATGCTTTCAAGAAATTTGAAGAGGCAAGGTAGTAAAGGCCTTGTGATTCTTGTCCTGTTCCGAACAATCGTCTGTCCTGTACTGCGGTCCTGCATGAGAAAAAAGTCATCAAAAAAAGTTATGCTACAATGTAGAGCCTTTGTCAAACGACTAACAGATGCTTAAAAGGAGAACCAGAGACATAAAGAACAGAGTCTAGGGTGACATAAGATAGGGGTTTGGCTTTTCCAACCCCTTTTGGTTTTGTTTGGATCCCATTGGCTAAAGTAATAGCTGGAAGAGATTGTGAATAAACAATATTGGACAAAAGTGATTTATTACCAGAGATATGATCAGAAGCCCCTGAGTCCATGACCCATGATCCAAGAGTACTAGACTGTGACACGCAAGCAAAAGAATTACCCGCAACAAAAACATCAGGTTGTGCAATCGAAACTACTTGTGGAGACGTTTGTCATATTCTGTCTGTGCAATATGAGCATTATTGGATGGTTGATTAGGTTGAGCACCATATGCTACTGGTGGAGATGTCTGTTTACTTGCACGATTTCGAAGGAACTCATTATATTCCTTGAGAACAATAGGATCATAACTGGGTGGTGGACCATGTAAAATATAACATATATCACGAGTGTGTCCAAGTTTATGACAATGACTACATTTGGATCGAGGTTTCCCAAAATGCCCTCCCCCTCGCCGATTCTCCATAGACTGGTATGTACGCTTTTCTGTGGTTTGAGATGCGAGAATAGAGGAGTCAACAATGGGTGATGAAACTTCTTTATGACAGGGAGGTGCAACAAGACGAAGCAGACGAGAGAATAATTCATCAATTGATGGAACTGTAGGACTGGCTAGAAAAAGGTCACGCACAGAGTTATGGTCAGTAGGAAGTCCAGCAAGTGTAAGAACTAGAAACAATGTCTGCCTTTGCTCTTGTTGCTTTTCCTCGTTTGTAGTGATAGGCATCAACGTTTCAAATTCCTCCATGACTTCCTGTACTTGTCCCAAGTAAGTAGACATATCGGATTCTTGTTTCTTTAAGTTGGTCATCCGAGATATCACATCATAGAATCGAGATATGTCATTAGTGTATAAAGCACGTGCCTTTTCCCAAACTAAATAACATGTCTGGAATGGGCGAAACAAGGGCATCAACTTAGAATCAATAGAGCACCAAAGGAGACTACATAATTGGGCATCCACTTTCTCCCATTGTGCTTTGGCTTTTGCACCTTCGTCACTAGACTTTGTCTTTTCGCCAAAGTGATCTTGAACACCTTGACCCTTGCACCACAACTCAACTGAAGAAGCCCAAGCTAAATAGTTTGAACTTCCCATTAATGGTTCTGAAGTGATTGTAAGTCTTGAACTTCCAATCCCCGTATTTTTGGAGCCAAAAAACATCACACCCGAAAGACATTTTTCGAAATTTGACTTGAAAAGAGTAAGAAGCTCACTGGAAACTGTCGGAATCTACCCACAGTGGCTTGAAAATTCTGATTTCGCCGGGAACTTGCCGGAAACTGCTTGAAAATCACCGGAACCCTAATTCTGGTGATCGGATCTAGAGAAAACTGAATGGGTTCTTGTCGGAAATACTGGGCGACCCCAACAGAAGAAAACAACTTGAAAAAAGATGACCGGAGCAGCACTCACGCGTGAACAGATCTTGCCGAAAAACTTCCACCTCCGAACGGCGCGTTGGGGGTTGTTTTCCGGTGGATCTGCTTGGGGTTCGGTCGCCTGAGCTTCCCGAGCCTCGTGATGGTGTTGTCTTTCGCACAACACCTTCAGAACGAAAGATGACACAAATCAGTCCCAACCATCGTCGCCGGAATTTGACATGGTGACTTGAAGTTTCTCACCAATGCTTTGATACCATGTGAGAAATATATGGGAAAAATAATATTGAATTGTGTATTTAAATTGTTACATTGAGACTCTATTTATAGACAATACATTGAAATCCTTTTCTAACTAGGATTCCTATTCCTATTCTTCTTCCTATTCTAAGTAGGAATATATATACATATTTCTATTCTAACATTATCTATATACATTATTAAATAGATTCTGTAACATTCCAAAATGTGAATCTAATGTTGAATATGTGATTTATAAATTTGTGGCCAATATTGCAAACGGTAACAACTGATAGAGAGTGCAAGTAACACAAGTTAAGATTATGGAGATTATATCACGAGGGTTCTAGATCTCTGGAATCAATAGACACTCAGTTAAGAACATAATATGATAGAAGTGAAGGATCCATTCAAATGATACCCAATTAGTTGAGATTGACTTGTTAATGGTCTCATTCTTCAAATATTGATCCTCAAACATTAGATTGATACAAATGGAGCGGCATGCTCAAGGAGGATGTGAGAAATATAGGAGAAAAATATTATTGAATTGTGTATCTACATTATTACATTGAGACCTTATTTATAGACACTACATTGGAATCCTTTTCCAACTAAGATTCCTATTTTTATTCCTATTCCTATTCTAATTAGGATTGTATATACTTATTTCTATTCTAACACTCCCCCTCAAGCTGGTCTATACAAATCATATGTACGTAGCTTGTTACAGATGTAATTAATACGAGGACCGGTGAGGGACTTGGTGAAGATCAAGCTGATCATTTGACTTCACGAATTTCGTAACAATATCTCCTGAGAGTATCTTTTCTCTGACAAAGTGATAGTCAATCTTAATGTTCTTAGTGTTTTCATGAAATATTGGATTTGATGCGATATGAAGAGCCGCTTGATTATCACACACATGTTCCATCTGACCGATTTCACCAAATTTTAGCTCTCCCAGCAACTGTTTGATCCAAACTAGCTCACAAGTTGCTGTCGCCATTGCTCGATATTCTGATTCTGCACTAGATCGAGCAACCACACTT